GACCACACTAATCGCGAGGTTCGCCCGAATACATCGATCCCGGGAATTTGGAAGCCATGGACAAGGCAAACAGAGCAGTGCTTGCAACCCAGTTATATGAGGTTGGAAGATCAAGAATTAGGTACCCGGGTATTGCAAGCGATGTTGTTCGAGGGCAGGCTAAAACTCAAACATCAGCGACCTCTTTTCCCAAAGCCGTGCTATCGTTAATCTAGTAACCAGGCTAGGCTACAATATACAGTGTACAGAGCCTCACTTACTGCACGGATATGAAGATAAGGTAAGGTATTGAATTTATGTATGTAGAGCTCCGATTACTTTGTATGTATATGTACCTAGAAAAGTGGACCTCGCATCCAATGACCGCCGCCCCCCGGCTGAAATTCCATTTGTACATCCGTAACATACGAAGGCTCGGGCCAAAATTATGGAACATTAAATGTTAAGCAAGCAACGTGTAGGAAGATTTAGCCACACAGTATCTCCAGGAGTTATAGTGGCTTGATACCCTAAAGCTATAGCGCCAAGCCACCTAAGCTACAGTGGATGGACCACTGTTAATTCATCACTTAGCGAGCTCGCCATTACAGTACGAACTACTAGGTGATCCCTACCAAAGACTGTGCTAGGATCTGGAGATGTTCCATAATTTTGGCCCGAGCCTTCGTACATACATACCTAACACCAGCACCGAGCCGCGATCGTCACTTAACCCATCTCACATTTAAATTTATTAGATCTGGCATGGGCCGGAGACTATGACGCCAGACCAAGTCGAACAGCTCTTCAATAGCATCCCCAAAGACGAGGAGTCGAGAATTCAGTCACTGCAACAGGTCCTCGGCATTGCTCAGGAATTGCAGGAAGACAAATCACCGGGGGGGCTCCAAGTTCTGGCAGAAAAAGTAGGAAATGGAAGTCGAGAAGGTGAACATCCCACCTCACTTGGAGAAAAAAAAAAAAAAAAAAAAAAAAAAAAAGAGAGATGCTTTTTCACAGCCCTTGCTTATATATATTTATTCACTTATTACTTACTAACAAGAGGACCCCGCTAACACCATTCGCTTTCCTAGAACGATGGAGGGCACCACTTCGGAAATCAGGACTGTTGGACTTCTTTCTCAATCTCATCAAAGGGGCCGAGCTAGACCAAGATGTCGCAGTTCATGCACTCCGAGTCGTAGGCAACACTTGCGCAGACCAGGGTCCGCACCACCGGCCCCCTTGAATCCCTAGTTTATAACTTGCACGTGCTTACGAGGCAATAGATGAGAGCCGGCAACGTGTGGTAGACTCGGGCTGCATGCCCTGGCTCGTTAAGCTGTTGGACCACAACGCCTTGTCACAAATCGTCATCCCGGCCCTGTTCAACATTTGTGTTGATTACCGTGAGGATGAGCAAGTCACCTTTTAACATGTGTACTTTTTTCTGACCTCGTGCCGACCAGAGCCCGCTCAGGTTGCAGCATACGAAGCCGGCTTGACAAACAGTTTGGTCGAACTCGTCATCCCACCACCTCAGCCGCGCGAGAAGGCATCAGCATATATACACATCGTCTACAAATTGCTAGGCCTCATGGCGACTCAAGGTAAATAGTCGCCTATCTCAGAACCGAGCCTCTCCAACGTTAGGTAGTCAGGCGTAGTAGGGCTAATTAGCTTCAAGAATTGGATCCTAAATTGGTGCCGCCTGCCACCCCGTACCATCTCTTAACGGTGGCACTTGCTAGCACGGCGAAGGGGACAGATTCACCTGATCTCGAGGCCTACTTGGGGCTGTGCTCTGCGGCATTGGCATATCTCGCCGACCAACAGTTTCAGGAGAGCTTTCTTGAAACTGCGGGGGCTGTCGAGGTTTTCTTGTCGGATTTCCAAGCAGCCACCGAAGGCCGTTCACTTTTTCATATCGAGGAGGAGGAGAAGGAGGAAGACGATAATGACAACGACGACGAGGCACAGCTCAGTCAACTACAGCCGGAGTTTACGAAGACCCTAGCAGATCTATCCGCCAATCCTCGGTTTGTCGAAATTTGCCCGCTAGATGGCCATCCGGCCGACTTGCTGCTACGCTGGATCACGTCGCCTAATCATCACGTGATACTTCAGTCTGCTGCTTGTCTGGCCCTGGGCAACATGGCCCGCTCGGACGCATCAAGCATTGCCTTGGTGCGGGAGATGTCGGTGCACAAGTCGCTCGTCACTATGCTATCCTCGTCGGATTCACCTGCCACGGATGCCCAGCTGCGGCACTCGGTCCTCAGTTTCCTGAAAAACCTGTCAATTCCTGCGAGTAATAAGGCCGCCTTGGGCGACACGGGGCTATTGGACCCCCACCTGCTGCCCCGTATGTGGGACATGGACACGCAGCCGCAGATCCAGTTCGATGCCGTCTCCCTCGCCCGTCTCCTCCTAGTCAACTGCCCCGCGAATGTGCGGCGGGTCTGTTTACCCCCCAGCGTGCGAGACCAAACGCCCTTACATCAACTACTGGACCTACATCGGAAGGCGGACCAAGAGCCTATCAAGATGGAAACGGCCCGCGCGGCTGCCAACGTTTGTCGGGCGCTGTATTCTGACCAGCCCGTCGGCTCTTGGTTGCTCCCCCAATCGTCGACGTCTCCCCAGCACGAGACTCGGTCGCTCATGCAGGATTTCCACAGCAAGCATCCCGCGTTGCCGGACACGCTGCTCTACCTCGGCCTGCAGACCAAATTCCCGGTCCTGCGGTCGGAGCTCTGGTTCGTGCTAGCGCTGATGGCGCGTTCCTTGGAGGGGGCTACCGTCGTAGCGCAATGGATCCGTCGGCAGCCCCAAATCGTCAACGTGCTCGTCGAGGCCGTCACGGGTAAGGAAACGTCCGAGGAGACGTCCGAGGACCAGGTGACGCGGGATGTGGCCAGCGGTAACGGAAAACTAGGGGCCGGAGTTGAGCCGGACCATCTCTCGGCACTGGGCCAGCTCGAGCCGCAACAGGTAGACACGGCCAAGGCGGCCACCACGACGACCAAGGTCGATCGGGAGAACGGCTTAGTGCTGATTGCCCAACTTCTGAAGCAGAAATCGGACGAGCTGCCCTCTTCGGTGAGGAGTACGTTTGATCGTACACTGAAGACGGGCGGCGAGCTAGTGCTCGGCGGTAGGGGGTAAAGGAATCGTGGGACCAGGGCCTTCAGTAGGTCAGTCAGTTGAATTCGGGTTTGGTTAGTCCTAGACGTTCCAAATCACATGTAGGTACTATCAAAATCGATGCCATCATCTACGCGAGGTTTTCCTGCCAATTCTGAAATCAACAGAGAAAAAGAGTCCTCAACCCGTGTGTTTATATCAGTAGTCTCATGTCACGACGTCTTTCTTGGAAGGGGTGGGGTGTTCATTTATTTATTTATTTCCATTGAGAACGACCTAGAGAGCAGAGCGAAACATGCAATAATGCTTCGGCCATTGTTTGGGTGGCAAGAGAAGAAGGATTATATCTTCCTCCTATTCCCTCTCCATTTCTTGGCTAGACAGAAAGCCAACCTCCCACCAGGACCGACCAGCAACATAACGAAAGCAGAACCCTAAGAATGCCCCGTCCGTACTCCCGTGCAGACCCGGCTGGGCATCACTTATTTCTTGTTGGCTTCCGCCTCGGCCTTGTCTCTGGCTCGCTTGTCGCGGCTACCTTTCAGTCTCGCGTCACTTCTCGCCTTGCGGAGCTTGGCGTAGGCACCGCCCTCGACAGGCTGGGGCATCTCGCTCTTCTTGATCTCTACGATGCTCTCGCCGAAGGGGATGATGGGAAGGGCAGATCCAAGGGTCGACACGGTCTTGGTCTCGGCGAGGTCGATGTCCTTGCTGTCACCGGCCTTGGGGTGCTTGGCGCCCTTGCGGGGGAAGACGATCAGTCGGGCCTTGTAGGCCTTGAGGCGGGCGACATTGGCGGTCAGGGACTCTTCGCTGAGGTTCTGGCGACGGTAGTCGACGGCGATACCGACGGTGGGGGCCACGAGGCGGGGGATACCGGCTTCCTACAGACGTGTTAGAATGATCACGGGGCATGTAGCATGTAGCATGTAGCATGTAGCATTTGTCCTTGGTTGTGAGATATTACCTTTAGCTCAGTCAGGGTGAAGCCACGACCGGCGCGAACGCGACGGTTGTACTTGATGGTCGGGCATCGGACCACGGGTCGTAGCTTGTCGACAGGTCGGGGCGCGACGGTGGCAGCCTTGGCGCGTCGGAGAGAGCGACGGCGGATCTTCTTGGTCGGCTATAGTTTTTCCCCATCCCCATGTTAGAATGATGGCGCGACTCGGATTATAGATTGGATTGGAATGGTGTAGAGCATCCTCGTACCTGGTCGAAGTGGGTTCGGACCCGACGTTGCCAATCCTTTCGGAAGTCTGCATGTATCTTTGGTCAGTACATATACTCATATGTCGATTCCTTGGCCCGGGATATTGTTTCGGTTGAACGTACGGTTGTGCTGAATCTGGTTGTTGTGCTTGATCGCCTAGGGAAAGAGAAGAATTGAAATGTCAGCGATGAAATCTCTCCAAGAAATTATGTCGATGCTGCCATCGAAGAATGATATACTACTCACCATTGTGACAGATTGCGATCAAGGGCTGGTTGTGGAGTGGGAAGAGAGAAGGAGAAGAAGAAAAAAGAATGGTGGTGGTTTGATTTTGTGCAGGTCGTCACTAAATCTCCAGATGGTCAACGAATTTACTAACAGGTAAAAAAGAGCCTTGACCAACCCGCACTTTTCTTTCGCTAATTTTTAGGACGGAAGTGGGGGGAGGGCTTGAAAGCCCTACCTAGGTATGTAAGTACTGTATCTACATAGTACCTAGGCTCCTCCTGCCTATTAGTAGTGGTCTGTGCGTTTCGACGATGCTTATTATAAAGTGGGCTGATCACATGTCTTCAGGAATACCTTTATAAAATAAATCAACACGGCCGTCATCATCCAATGGCGTGAGATGTCTCTGATCCGAGAACCACCCAATATGAAGGCCCTGGTAGCTCAATTGGCTAGAGCGTGGGACTTTTAGGACCAATGTACATCCCAAGGTTGCGGGTTCGACCCCCGCCTGGGGCGCTTTTACACTTTTGTCATACATTCTTTTTTTGATGCCGAATTAAACCTGCTCGTTCACACAAGTACGTTACCTGTTCTGTTTCGTGGGAGGTTTCATTTAACCAACCGTTTTGTGCATGTAGTGATTGCAACTATGTCGTTTTTCATGGAAGTAGGTAAGCTTCTTACTTATATATACCTAGGTGTATGTAGATAAGCGGTTTACTAAACATTCATAATCATAGATCTCGTCAAGGATGCACGTATGTATGTAGGTAGGGCTGGGATTCCCCGCATCCGAGATTTGGAGTACATACCACCCACCCATCCAGACTACCTCCGTATATTGAATATAATACCTTCAATGCTCACGTCACATAAACTCATCATGGTGGCCTGTAGAAACTTTCCTGTCCGAGGGCTTCTTGGCCTAGCCTCTCGTCTTCCAGTTATGGATGACGCGTGCGCTGCTTTTAGCAAGGCCCGTTTCTACCCGGGGAGGTGTATATCCGGTACACCCGCCCGTGCGACGGACGGTGTTTTTCGCGGTCTTGTGGATAATAGGCTACCGATGCCGTGGATAGAAGCGTGGAGGCTGCAGCAGGATGGGAAGAATGTGGCCTCGGACGAGGCTAGGTCACAGGAACGCGATCTCCACACACCGAAGAAGATGAGTGACAGCTACCACCGCGTCGTGCTTCCGCTTGGTCGCGACCCCTGGCTCAGCGATACATATATCAACTCCTCCGGTCACATAAGGTCCTTGCTCGGCCCGTTTCTGTTGTGCTGTGCTATGCTTTTGCTTTGCTGTGCTTTGCTGTCTCTAACCCTGCATACTATCTATCTAGGCTGGGTACCGTAATTATGGATCTGGACGCGTTGTCGGGTATCATTGTTTATAAGCATACCGGGCAGGGTGTCACAACCGTCACCGCAGCTCTCGATCGAATCACCATTGCCCACCCGCTGACGGAGATTTGCGACCTCGAGTACAGTGGCCAGGTCACCTACGCAACAGGAAGAAGTAGCGTCGAGATCACCTGCAAGGTAGCCAAAGCCAGAGGCCAAGGCGAACCGAGCAAGCCCGAGGATGTGTTGCTCACGTGCACTTTCACCATGGTAGCTCTAGACCCTATAACCAAGAGGCCCGCCAACATCCCACGCCTTATCTGTTCGACGCCCGAGGAAGAAAACATCTTCCAAGCCGGAGAGGCCAAGGCCTTGGCTAAGAAGAAGAAGCTCAAGACGTCGCTACTCGAAACAGAACCTAACGATGCCGAGTCGACTCTCGTCGGTATGTATATATATATATAAACATCTTGCATCGTCATTTTCAACCTCTTATCTCTCGAAACACCTCGCTAATGTCTTGTAGTAAGTTAGGTGCTTCTATCATATTCTTCCTACCTATTATGTTTCCCTGCCTAGGTTAGGTAAACCAGGGAAATAAACGCGTTGATATTTCTAGAGAGTTAGGCTCTGAATACTAACAAGGCATGTTTCAATCCGCTTAGCACAAAATTTGGCTCAGGCAATTGGCCTACCACGATCCTAACCATGGACTCCGCCAGCCCTCAAACGTGATTGCCATGGGCAAGACTCAGCTCTCCACGGCTGCTATCATGCAGCCGCAATACAGGAACCGACATCAGACCATGATCTTTGGCGGCTTCCACCTGAAGCAAACATTCGAGCTCGCATTTTGCTGCGCTGCGAGTTTTGCGCATGCACGGCCGACATTTATCAGCGCGGATCCCTGCATTTTTCGCAACCCGGTTCCCGTCGGCAGTGTATTGTACCTGACCGCGACCATCGTGTACACGGATCCACCGTTACTGAACGAAGACGGGAGCGAGCCGAAGCAAAAGGACCCCAAGAATCCTGCGACGCGACTGCACGTCAGAGTCGACAGCAAGGTTCGGGACGTCGAACACGGCAACGCCAAGCCGACGGGACAGTTTCACTATACCTTTTCGGTGCCAAAGGATGTCAAGGTTCTACCGTGTACGTATATCTACCTATTTATCTACCTATTTATCTACCTATTTATCTACCTATTTATCTACCTATTCTTTTTTACCCTATCTACGTACCCTTTGGATAAGCTGGCCACCCGAGTCCCTCCAGCAAAGTGAGCGGGAGATGACGGAACTAAGTAACCTAGACCGACGTATAAGATGCTTTATGCGTGGTCGACTAACTCTAAAAACGCCCCAGACACATACCAAGAATATATGATGTACATAGACGCAAGAAGAAGAGTACAGCAGCTCGGAGATGTACAGGATCACCAGGAGCACACGGGCTCGGACCTCGAAAACGTAAACCTTACAGAGTGATTGACGCCCGAGGACGATCTAGTATACCACATGAACGAATCCAGACTGCAGGGGCATATCAACAAAAGTGCTGGGACTACCCACATAAATATAGTTAGTTACCTTGGTTAGCTATCGTGTTTGCGTAAGTTGACATAGATGGGCGTCTCTGAATATAGAGGGGGATACGGACGGGAGGAATCGGTCTGGAATATCAACAAAAATTCCCTGGGCACGTATATATGTATGCATATGCAATATCATAAGTAGCGTAGTTATATCCCACCCTTGAGCCGTGACAGCTCCCTATTCTTCCTGGTGAAGCCGTGGCCTTCCAAAGGCAGATCCCTCTTCTTCAGCTCCTCCTCTACGAGCTTGAACCTTCCGACCGCCTTCTCCCGGTCACCGCGCGTGATGCGCTTGGCGGCGACGGAGACGTTGGGCAGTTGGACGAGATCCTGGCGGTGCTCCTGGATCTCCTGTGTCAAAGTTTTTGGTTTGGGTGGCTTTTGCACTGCGCGGAGCAACGAGCCAACGTCGGCAATGCTAGATAGCTGGTGATCGGGCACGAGCTGGCCGGTGAGCTGGAAAATACGCTTCGTAACCTACGAAGCATCTTGTTAGTCTCACATCTTTCGGGCACGGCACGGCGTGACGTGACGTGACGTGACGTGGCGTGACGTGACAAAACTTACAGCGAACTTGATACGGGGTTCCGACAGAGAGATCGTCTTCCAGCCTTGGTCCCAGGTTTCCTTGTACTTCTGAGCTTCCTCGGCGGAGGGCTGCAAACTGGCGGAAGGTGTCTCGTCGTTCCAATTCAGGGATTCAATCACGTCATCGACGTTCCCGTTCAACGACACTACGCCGTCCTCTGCAACACCGATGCCCACCTGCACGATGCGCCGTAGTTCCTCCACTGTCCCCGAGGGCCAGGTACTCACCAATTCGTCTTGCCGTCCCGCCTGTCTCAGTGCGAAGGCCTCTACAACGGCTCGGCGGACCGAAGCCTCGAGGAGGGCAGGGTCCACGACTTTCTCGGACGGTCTAAAAGAGGCGAAATCGTTGGACCAATGGTCGGGTTTGTCCCACCATCTTCCTACCCCACCAACTGTCTCCAAGCCGTCAGCCGTCATGGCGGGCACGTAGTTGGGGTCGGACACTTGGTCTAGTCTTTCGGCATAGCTGCGCTGAGGTGGTGGAATATATGCCTGCTGCGGTTGGTCGTCCACGGCTTCTAGGCTTTCCTGGTCATCACGTGAAAGACCCTGTGATCTAGGCCGGCTGGAGGAGTAGAGCCGGGCGGATACAGGGCGTCGAAGTGCCGGCCTACGACGTGAGGCAGACACGATGTAGGAGGATGCTGGTGGACATTGCCCGACTAAAGGGGCTATTGGAGAGCGTGAGGTTGAGGCAGGCAGGCCTCTTATCCGCGATACCCGTCGCATTTCTGCCGACTGATTGGTTCGGTCGTGGTGACGTTGATCATGAAAGTAAGTGGTAGGAAAAGTAAGTACGTGGATGTCGAAGGCATCAACTATTAATTTTTTATTCTTATGATCGCAGGTGTCAGTTCCGAGTTGAAAATTGCAGGGGTCTAGGTACCAGACAGGGTATGTATGTAATGTGTGTGTGTGTGCATGTACTACATATGTACATACATATGTACATAAATATCTCATACATACATACATGAAAGATAAGATAAGATAATTACAGTACGTACAATTGATGCATATCTTGTCGGCATAACTACATAACTATTACACATAATAATACCTAGGTTAACGAATGAAAGCTTCAAGTCAACTGCTTTCGTACATCTCTCAATCTACAATCTCACCTACGTCTTATGACACTGCTGCGACCTACAGATAGAAATATAGCATAGTTGCCTATGCCGGCATCTGCGTAGTCCATTCTTCCTCGACTACCTGATCAAATCTTTGTCGTCCCCGTCTTATGCTGTTCCTATGGTATTTATTATATATTTATTATACCCAATGATAGCGGCACGATGCGACTCCATCTCTCTTCACTACTCTTCGTAGGGGTCCTTATCTCCTACGTTGCCGCAGCCTGTAAGCTAGCACGTGTTTCTTTCGTCTTCCTATCTCTTGTCCTTGTCCTGCCCTCGTAACCCCATTCTTCCCGCGATGCTGACTCCCATCTTTGATATTCGTAGCTGCGCCAACATTCTGCAAGTGCACTTGCTTCAAGAATAGCACCTTGATCCAGCTCGGCCCGCAAGGCGACTCCTCTTCTCCCTCTGGAGACTCCGGCTCACATGCGTTACGCTCGCTACCCCTCCAGGAGCGCGCCGCCTCCGCGTCCTGCACCCAGTGCACGCGAGCCTTCTGCTTGTCCCAGCACCTCCCCATTTGCAAGGACGCAGAGGAGAACGACGTGGTGGCCATGTGCTTCCAGCGCGACAGTCGCAAGGACCAGATAATTGTCTGGGGCTTCGTCCTCGGTACCGCCGGTCTGCTAGCCTGGGCTGCTACCAAGAGAGTCGTCGAGTTCCGCGACGGTAAGAAAGCCCTGGCATTGGGCCGTTCCGTCGTAGGGAACAGAGGAGGGACCGTCCAGGACAGAGGTGTATATGTGCCCGTTAGTAATAACACCTAGAAGCTAACTAGGTGGACATCATTGAAGAAGAAAAACCCGTGCCTAGGCGGATAGGATGCTAGTCCCCTATAAGGG